TGCATACAATCCGTTTTTAGTCTCGTTAGTAATGGTATTTTTATGTTACCGACTGCAGTTGACCGGAGTCCTTATATTTGTTGCAGACAACAGCAGATGTATTTAGTTTCATCCCGAAACCATTAATTTGTAAAAGGGTTTTAATTTGTTTGTATTATTTTTGAATTTCCGACCATCGAAATAAACTCAATTTACTCGTGCACTGCGAAGATATAATATCCTAAATTAAACCGGGGTTTCCGGTGTCTCAGTGTCTGCAAACTCAATATAATATGTTTTTTTATTTTTCATATAATATGTATATAGTCGCGTAATAGCCTATCTCCAGTGTATATTATGATAATAGGGGTCTCGCACAAGGCTCTAATTTAGACCCAATTTATTTTTCTCGTGTATAAATCACGTGGCCGCCATTCATTAATTTGTGTTTCCTCTTTGACAATGATTTGAAAACATATTTCGACTATAAACTCAGTTGATCGTGCTAGCGAATTCCAATCAGATTTAGATTATTATTTATTACTATCAAAACGGTATAATATAAATGATCTCAAAATGTAAAAAATTACCTTTTTTCGTTCATTCGTTTTTATATTATTTAATTGTAATTTTAAACTAAGGGTTGTGGTTAACACTTTAATTAAATTAAAACTTAATAAAGTTCGGTTTTACTCAACTGTCTAAATCTATAATGATTTTGGTGTTCTACATGTTATGGACTTTATATTAAATATTTTAAATTATTTATTAACAATAGACATCAACAGTTACTACAATACTGGCTTTGGTCAGAAAAGCGTAATTTTTGTTAGAATTGCGGTGTGAAGGAAACTTAATATTCGTTGTCGAGATATTCCAATTTTAAGTATGGGTTGGGGGAGAGTAGCGGAGCATTATTTGTGTGGCCATACGGCAGCGTGCGGCGTTTTGATATTGCACCACCATACTCTTTCCAGGTATCGGATCACAAAAAAATACAAAAATAAAATATCAATATTCTATACTATAATATTATTTTTATATTTTGAAGTTAATTTGTGTTTGAAAAAAAAAAACGTCAACTTTAAACTTTTTTTTTTTTCCAATTATTTCAACGATGAAAATTTAGTTTAGTTTAAAATTTTACCTGATATATTGTTATCGTTCATACTGATGAAATAATGAATTATCATTAAACGAAATAGTTAAAACTGAAATAAAAAAACTTTCAAATCAACATTTGCCACCTACACGGTGAATATTAAGACGATAACATCAAGCGTATCATAAAACTATTCTACACATAGATTTTAAAGAAAGGATACGAACAAAATAGAGGGAAATGTGCCGGAATGGGGAAGAGATAAAGACTGTTTTTGTCAATGTCTCTCACTCTGACGGAGAAATACGAATCACAAGATAATATATTCTGTGATTATTATCATAGCAAGACGTTAGATATTGGAGATCATATGAATTCTCAAAGTAATAAAAAAAAATTATTATGAATATAAACTATTAAATTATATTGTACCTGTTATATTGACTTACTTACACCTAATTGAATTCATTAATATCTATAATTTCGACATCGGTTGCGCGTCATGTGCCAATACTAATGGGCTTTTACCATTAGTACGATAAGATAAACACATAAAGATCATAATGTGTATATACTATGAACAATGTGTATAGAATATAAAATTATTATTGTATCTTGTATTATATACAATTTTTATTTTTTCGGCGTGCTACGGTATTGATTAAATCCCACTGCACGCCGCTGCCGCCAAACACCGCGGGACTGCAATGACGAAAGGTGCGACGACGTTCAATATGCATTCCCGGTATTCAGAATCATTTTTTGACCACTCATACTCGTATTTCATAATCATTTTTTTTTATGTCAGCTCGTAATTAAAACTAATTTTCACGGTTTGTGTTTTCTACAATAAAGATAATCGAAAAACGCATAGGCCTATTTTGTTTAATTTTGATTTCTATGTGTAATATGAAAGTCGTTTTTTTAATATTCCGTATAGTTTTCTTAATAAATTGATCAAAACCGGGAAAAGATGTGAAAATATTGAAGACATCATATCGTATCATACCGGAATTTATTATTATTATTTTAAACCTTATTTTTTTTCTACTTCTAAAAATCAAAAATAATCCTGAAATTTCTCTTTTCGCCCTTTACTGCTGCTACCCGCAGTTAAAAATAATTTTCACGGTTTATATCACGATGTTATTTTAGATGCATTGGTTTTACAATAATGTTTATTTTTTTTCAGTGAACCACTTTTTACCGGAAATTTTGCTCCGATTTTCAATAACGGCACTTTTTCTGAAAAAAAATATACAATGTTTGTGTTATTATTTTACCATTACATGGCGTATTTGTTATTGAAAAAGCAACACTGTTAATCGAAGTCCGCTCAGTATCGTTTGTCGTAAATAATGGTTAATCATTTCTTACAAAATATATCATTCAATTTCCTCTCTACCTACCTAACATTTCATTTTCTCCCTAAAGAACCGTTTAGACAATATTTTTGAGTAACCACACTTACATATCGAATCAAATTTTCTGCTTGACATTTTTGTCACAGTATACAAAAAAAAAATTAAACATCATTGTAAAACAGATACATTTTTCGCTATACTTAGAATCTAAAATCGTAGGATATAACGGAAAGTATTGATTTTAATATTTTCGGTTTTGGTCCTCACTTCCTCTACTCACCCTGACCATCGAACCTAATACAAAAACTGCCGGCGCCGCCACACACCGCACGACAGCATGTACCGATACAACGGCACATCGTCGTTGTACCATATGAACTCCTGGTACCCAAAAACATTTTAAAGATGTCTCGTCTCGGACGTTACCAACTTTATTGATTTTTGCCGCTCGCAGATAAAATTCATTTTTATAGTTTATGTTTTTCACAATAAATATAGATCTAATTAAAAATAGACAGAGAGACATATTCGTTGAGTTTTGAATCTAGTTAGTTAATAAAAAATTCGTTTTTTTAGTATTGCGTGTTGTTTCCTTAATAGTTGAGCAAAACCAAACAAAAACGTGAAAGAAATCACAAAATTTAAAGAATAATTTCAGTAAAGTATTTTTTATTCATTTTTTTTTTTCTAAAATTCTAAATTTTCTTTTGTGACTGCTCTTTTCCTGGTGCTGCTGCTCGTAGTCAAAACTAATTTTTATGGTTTATACCATATTTTAGATTCTGATTGAATTTATTCGTTTTTACAATGATATTTATTTGGTTTATTGTGAACAAATTTTCTACCGGAAATTTTACCATGATTTTAAAGCATAACAAGTATTCAAGTATTACGTTTCTTCCGAAACGAAATCTGACTGGGGTGGTACTTTAGGGAAGTAATTTTTTGATTTCCCCAGCTATTTTTATAATGAATGGAAAAATAGGAAAGTTATAACACTAAACAAATATTATTAAAGAACATAAGTAATATTAGTAGCATATTATAGCATATTATGTATATAGGATAAGTAATTATTTTACCACATATGATACATATATTGTTGAAAAATTAAAACTATTAACCAAACTGGAATCGTTCAGAATCTGTTTTTGTTAGCAATGGTTAATCGTATACTTTAAATACCCCTTTACTTTCCCAACGTCTCACTCACAACAGTAGCCCACCCACGTGAAAAATATTTCCGCATTTTTTACGATTTATGTTTATTCCACAATATGAAATATTGCTCTAATCGAAAAACGACTAGATATCTTTTATGTTGAATTTCAGATATTGATAATTTTTTAAGATAATCGTGTTTTTATTTTTCAACCGGTTTACTAAATAATCCGAAAAGACCGGGAAAAGCCCGTAGGGAATATGGGAATGTTTACCGCATTGGTTTTTTTCATTTTCGATATTAACTCTCCGCCATCACAATAGACAATCTAATACAAAAACTGCTGTCGCTGCCACACACCGGGTCGGTAACACATTGATGTCGTACCACATGCACTCCTGGTACCTAAAATCATTTTTTGCCTCCACGTAACACGTATCATTTTCATATCATTTTCTATTTTTACTTATGTTTATGCTTACTGATGCTGTATTCTACTAGAAATATAAGCTCTAATCAAAAAATCAAATGGCTTTTTTTGTTGTATTTTGAATCTAGTTGGTTAATAAAATATTCGTTTTTTGATATTCTGTGTAGTTTACTTAATTATCGAAAAAGATCGGGAAAAAACGTAAAAAGAACGATAAAGTTCTTTAACAGAATTAACGTTTTCGATTATATCTAATTTTATTAATTTCTTCTAAAATTCTAAAATAATTCTACATTTTCTCTTGTGACCCGTTAGTTTTCTCTCTTTGCTGTTGCTGCTCGTGGGGTCAAATCTTATTTGTACGGTTTATGTCATGATGTTACGTTCTAGATTCTGAGCGGAGAAAAAACGTAGGGAAAACGGGAAAATTGGTAAAATAATATTAAACAAATTATTAAAAAAAACATACTTATGTAATTATTAATGTATTATTTGACCATTATATGACATACATGATGTTGACAATGCAACACTATTAACTCAACTCCGCTCAGAATTGTTTTTCGTTAGAAATGGGTAATCCTTGAAATATAATTAAAACCAATACATTACTTGCTTCACTCGGAGTCTAAAAAAAAATAAATATGAACAAGTAGGGTAATGTTTCATTTGGTACGCGCAGCAAACATTATTGAAAATATTGCTTTTTTTTTATTTTTCAAACAAAACTCGTTTACTCGTTTGGTGTAACCGTAGTGAACGTAAGAGTGTTTGAAAATTCTGGAAACTGTTATCACCTAACTTTTACGAATGCATTTTTATTCTCACAAATACACTGAAATTTAGTCCTCAGTTTTAAATATTACGTCCACGACTCCAAGTGTACGTCATTCGTGTTTTGAATTTTTGTTGTGTTTTAGACCCTGTTTTAGACTTCTCCGATTTTTATTGAACGTTGGCATGATGGCGACGACGACGACGAGGACGGTCGCGGTAGCGGTTGACGCGGAGCCGGCGACGACGTCTTCACTGACGGCGGAAACGTGGGCACAGATCGAAGCCATCAGCGACCAGGTCCGACGAGCGCTCGAGTGTCCGGTATGCCTAACGCTGGCCACGGTCATGGCGTCTCTCTGCGCGAACGGACACGCGGTGTGCCACACCTGCGTGGTCAAGCTGTGGAGCAGGGACACCACGCAACACTGTCCCATGTGCCGATCTCCGATGGACTTGCGGGCGTCGACCGCGATGACCGTCAAATTGACCGAGTTCACCGAAAGAGTGAGGCTGGCGTGCGACTACCGGAGATTCGGCTGCCACCGACTGTATTTCGTCCGCGACATACTTGAGCACGAGCGGGTGTGCGCGTACAAACCGAACGTCGAGTGTCTGGCGTCCACGTGCCAATGGTTGGGCACCTACGATCAGCTGCAGGAACACGTGCTCCACGCGCACGCCGACGTCTTTGTCGAAGCAACGGTAAATCACGAAATAACATACAGATTTGTTCATTCGTATACAGAGTGATTATTTTATCGTTGAACACTCATTGATTCGCAGAGTATCTATAGATTCTTTTCAATTTTTCTCGGCAGTTCAAGAAACATTTTTGATTTTCAAACGGTTACATATATGTCGTCACAAAATTCATACATATATATATACAGTATTAGTTGTTTAAATACATTTAGGTGATGACATTTATTCAAACTAATACTCTGTCTATACATGGAAGTATCGGGTTACCGTTTGAAAAATAAAAATTTGGTTGTTTTACGCCAAAAAATAACGGTGATATAACATTTTGGATCCGCTTGTTTCCTAAATCGTCGACAAATTCAAAAGTCAATATTTTACGGAACAATTGAGCGTTCAACGATTAACGAATCGCCGCGTAGTTCTTATAGCGAGTAAAGGCCGGTTATCGGTGATCGGCCGTGCGGACCAGAACAGGCCGTCCGTTTCCATAAAAGTTCCCGTACGCGAAACTATTAACAGTGGCGTCATTTGGGGAAGGGCATGGAAGGAATTTCCCCCCCCCCCCCCCCACTGGTTATCAGCAGGCTTCTATTGGGCCGGGTATGGGTTAGTTTTGAGCCACAAGCCTGCAAACATAATTCATGATTTACGTTGCTGCACTCTGAGCTACGGTTTTTTAGTGTGATAATTGTATACAATATTTTTTTTTTTTTTTATTGTACTTTTTGTTAACATTGATCGCACTTTAGCTGAAATTTACCGGGTTCTCATAAGAGTCCATGTAAATTTTCGGAGAGTGTCTATTTTTATTTAATTTATTCTACGATTATACCGATGTCCATGGTGACATGGTTATATTTTTTGTCAATACATGTGTACTCCATACATATTGGCGCAAATAGAAATTGGGGTAAAATTCATCTCAAATAAAATCTTCATATAGTAGCTAATAGGTAATATATTTAGGTATCCTTCTACATAATATATGCATATTTATTATTAAGTAATTTTTGTCCCTCAAAAAAAAAAAAAAAAATAAATAGGTTATTCATGCCTATAATAAAAAGTGTAGTACAATGAAGTAATAAGTTTTCTTCCAAAAACTGTGAAATTTCAATTGTATTTTAATCAATTTGTAACTAAATTAACGATGTATAAAATTAAAATGATTTCATCGCTAACACTAACAATTAAATCAACTAATAACCAAAATAATATTCAATCATATTACATATTATAATTAATATATTCTAAATTCATAATAATACAGTGCAGTGTCCCACCGTGTTCGGCGGATTTTTCTAGCGCTGTTTAATTTTTTTTCCAATCGGTTTTCCTTTGAAGAGGACATCGAGTTTGAGAAAAATTAAATTTATAGTTAAAAATAACTTTATTGATTCAATAAAGACAATTTTCAAAAAGGCCTTTCTGTAAAAAATATTATTCTAAACATTTTAATGTATCATACATATAATTAGGTAGCCACAAAGTACAAAAACGATAAATGATCAAGTGATCAAAATTAAAAAGTCCAATCCAATGAAATTTACGTGGTCGGTAATAATATGGAATTGAACTATTAATAAAAACTACCGGAGTACTGGATTCGAGTACAAAATCCAATCAACTGATAATGCAGGTGATAGATAATGTGTAGTAAAAAAAACAAATATAAAAACTAAAAATCCAAAATATTCCCGGCTCCACAAAGAGTATCATGTGGACGAAACACGAACTTTGAGGAAAAAAGACACAGATTTTGGTAGTAATTATGAAAAAACCGTTCACGCAATAAAAATTAATAAATAAAATGGAAAATAGCACAATGTTATTATTACTTTCATTATATTATATTGCCAAATCTATGTGGGCATATAAGATAATACTTGAGAAATTTATTATTTTCATTTTTATTTTTTGTTGCGATTCACTTAAAAATATTCGTCGATTTAAAATTTAGACGGAAAAAGCAAATATAAGTTTTTTGCTCAAATTCCAAGTCTTACAAATTTTAGATTCTGAGCAGAGCGCAGAATGTATTAGTTTTAAAATGATATTTATTTATTTATTTTTTCATTATTTTTTTTTTTATGTGAACACTTTTTCTACTAGAAAGTTTACTCCGATTTACAAATATACCACCTTTTCTAAAAGGAAATGTTCTCTAGGTCATAAATAAAACGGGTCATTTTTTGAAATTCACATTATTAATATTCTAGATAATGAAGAAAACCTGGTTGTATAGGTTTAAAAAGATTTATTTTTTGTTATTAAGGTTTTATTATTTTAATCGTTTTCAAAGAATCATTGTTGTCATGGAAAACCCTTATGGAAACACACAGTTGAAAAAATAATACTAAAGACCGAGCTTAAAATAAATAAATTTCGATTTCAATACATTCTTTTAATTATTAATTTGTATAGTGAATAAAATAAATTATATCCCAATATAAATCATATTTTTTGTCGTTTTTGGTTTTTCCCAATTATTCTCATCATAAAGTTAAATAGAGAAAATTATTTTAACTGTTACCCATTTTTGATTCTGAGTGGAGCAAAGAAGCCTATGGTTTTACAAAGATTTTCATTTTTTTTTTCTGTGAATAACTTTTTTACCAAAATACTTGCTAAGATTTTTACGTGTAGCAACTTTTCTGAAAGGAAATCAGTATGGAGAGGTACCTAAAAGAGGTAGGTTGATTTTTTTAAGAATTTTCTCAATAAATGCGAAAAACCGAAAAAAAGAGGGAAAATGTACGAAATATATTTGTATAATATTAAGATTTTTTTTTTCTGTGGACAACTTTTCTACCAGCAGTTTTGCTCCAATTTTTAATAATAGAAATTTTACTAAAACGAAATTTTACTGGAAAGGGTTTGATTTTGTACGGACTTTTCTCAACAAATGTAAAAAACTGGGAAAAAACATAGGAAAACCGAGAAAAACGTAGGAAAACCCGATAAATCGGTACAACATTTATAGAGCCTACTTAATTGTTTTATTATAATATGGCATATAAATTGTTGAAAAAGCATCACTATCAACTGAACTCCGCTTAGAATCATTTATCGTTGCTTACAGGTATACATTAAATTATCTATAAAAGTGACTACACCCGTCCCTATTATCCTAGGACGCCTTTTTTATACATTATAATATATTAAATTAGTGTTCCTATACTATTAGAATACGTGGTATTCTTCGTTTATGATATGTACGGACGACTATATTATGTATATTGTAGAATGTAGCCATGTTTACGTACGGTGGTTACGTAAGCTACACGCTTTTTTAAAATGTTCTTATAGGTTCAAAATTAAAATACGGATAATCGTCATCATAATATAATGACGTCATACGTACGAATGCAGTGCGAAAAATCCGTATGGTAATGATTCGTACATTTAAGTCTCGTATGATTATATAAAATACCGAATCTTCTTCGTATATCACCAAAATACTGACCATTTTATTGAGAAAAACGGTGTGCGCACACGAGTCGCACGGCCAGTAGTCGTACGTTTTCGTACGATACGAATTCGTTTTACAACGGTGCGCGCGGCCTACGGACACGATGTCCGAACACGGACGACGTATTCGTACGAGGTACAACGGAGTCGTCGACGTACCAGTAGCGCAGGAGACTCGGACGTTGTTGCAGCGACTATTCGTAGCGGTCGGCGGCCGAACGATATTGGCGCGGTTAATCGTAACGATCCGCGCCCGAACGATATTGCCGCGACGAGTGGCATGTGTCGGCGGCAGAACATTATCCCCGCGACGAGTAGTCGAATATAATAAGAATATATTGTGCAAGACGCACGTTCAACGCGGTTCAACTCGTTCAACGCGGTTCAACACGTTCAACTTTCGCGGTTCATTCGCACGCGGTCCGAGGGAGACGTCGACGTACCAGGAGCGCAGGACCCGGACGTCGTCGCCGCGTCGGGCGGTCGACGGTAGCCGTCGCCGCCGCAGCGCACACCGAAGCTCATGTTCTCCTGGTCCTAAATAAAATTCCCGTTTCGATGCCGACCCCAGCCGAGATCGGCCCTAGAAAAAAAAATGTTTCCCAACGTTTATAAGTATTATTATTATTATTATATATTATTCCTACGTATGACGTCATTAANAGCGCGCACCGAACCTCATGTTCTCCTGGTCCTAAATAAAATTCCCGTTTCGATGCCGACCCCAGCCGAGATCGGCCCTAGAAAAAAAAAATGTTTCCCAACGTTTATAAGTATTATAATTATTATTATTTATTATTCGTACGTATGACGTCATTATACTATTATGATGACGATTATCCGTATTGTAATTTCGAACCTATACGAACATTTTAAGAAAACGTGTTTAGCATATCTAAACTACATGGCAATGTAACGTATGTCCGTCCGTACATTTTATAAACGAGGAATATTCACATATTCTATACTTTCAATATACTTACTATAGGAACACTAATATCATATTAAAATTTACAAAAAAATATTGTATTTTTACATTTAAATTTCTAAATATAATATTATGTCATTATAATACGAATCTGCGGCTTTATCCGCATTTTAATTCTGAACCCGTACGAGCGATATTTTTAAAAACACCTCTAGTTTCGCACACGTAACCCCTCGTCATACCCCCCTAACTAACGGTAGAAACACTAATTTAATATATTATCATATACCATTAAACCACAAACGGAATCTCGCGTTTGATCATAAGTCACAGCTTTTATACAGTAACCAATCGCAATAATGTGATAATAATAACACAATTTTTGAATCCTACACGAAATTCAGAATTCAATTATAAACGGGTATTAAATGCGTTAATTTTCACTGTCGCTTTCGGATAATATTTAAATACGTTGTTTAACGATTCGACGTGGGTGGTAGGTACCTAATTATTTATGTTCTTGACATAATGTATTATTGATAATATATTTAGAAATTTAAATGTAAACAATTCGATATCTTTAAAAATTATAATATATAATATTAGTGTTCACGTAGTAGGGTTAGAATATGCGGTGTTCTTCGTTTGC